GCACGGTGGTTGTGGATACGCGCGATTTGAAGTGCATCCGCCGTTGATTCAGCAGGTGACCGTCCGTCCTGTAGGCGATGCGGACCCCGGGGCGTTCGTCGCGGTAGGCGTCCATCAGCATGGCAGAGGACATAAGACTGAAGAGGGTAGGCGCCAGTACGCAGCCTTGCTTCACTCCGCTGGTCACTGCGAATGCCTCTGAGACAGCTCCGTTGTCCGTGACTCGCGCCATCATACCGTCGTGCAGCTGACGCACCATCTGAGTGAACCGCTCCGGACAGCCGAATTTCAGCATGATCTTCTACAGTCCTTCACGATTCACCGTGTCGAAGGCTTTCGTCAGGTCCACGAAGGTGGAGTACAGGTGGGTCCGCATCTCCTGACACTTCTCCTGAAGTTGACGGGCGGCGAAGATCATATCCGTGGTCCCACGATGACGACGGAAGCCGCATTGGCTTTCCGGCAGAAGACCCAAATTGGTAGTATTAAGAAAAAGAAGGTGTTCTCAGAACGAAACGGTGAAATAACTGCTGGAATCGGATACCAGGAAGCGTTCGAGGAACATTCGCTTACAAGGAGTCTTCCGGAGAAAAACTTCTAGACAAAAGAATATGGAAGATGGTGGTGGATTCTTTCTGAGGGTGGAGTGAAACGTAACTTCATTACAGAGCTGCAGACCAAAAGTGAAACCGACAACTGGGATGAGACCTCGACATTCCAGTGGACAAAACGGAATGTCTATGAGGGTTAGCGGTGAACAAAACGGAGGCGGTTTGGGGAGTGAAAGTCAGTACGGCCTCCATTACTCTTCTGCGATTTTGATTCGGAAGGACATGGCGCGTGGATCGAAAACGAACAAAATGTCCGATGGAAGATCGTGGAAAGCGAAAGCACAGGTGGCAATGAAAATGTGAGGGAATGGGGCAATTTAGCGACGGCCTCCCGAATGCTCGATGGTTCTCTTTCAAAGTTCTGGAGTAAGCTGCTCGAGAAGGCTAAGAAAAGTAAATATTCTGGGGATTGAGTTACTTTTGGTAAAGATATTGGACGGACCCTATTTTCTTCTGCTCAGCAGGCGCAGGGTGCTTAATAAAAATGAACGGCATTTAAGTTCAAACTCATCAGAAACTTATGGGGGTAAATTCCGATTTCGTCGAGCTCAAACTTCCGGGAACGGGTCCGATCATTTTACCCATGTTAGAGACAATGCATCGTGGCCAAATGAAGTGGGACTGTTGTAGTTAGGAATGCCCGAGCTCTAATTAAAAATTGACACATTTGTATCTTAATCATCAATGCCCAGCTGAGACCGATTTTCGTCGTTAATAACCAAAAGCGAGCATTCTTGTAGGGAAATGGATAGGCATCACGTGCAGCACCACAGAAAATTGGCTTATACGACGTCTTCAAAATGCCTGGGAACGGTAGTACCGTCTGTTTGTTCGTGTCGACAACTAACGTCCAAATCGTCAGTATTGTGTGTGAGAGTACAAGTTAGAGGTAATTTAGTTCAAAAGCTCTCGCCTTTCTCCGAAAAATGAGGGCGTCAAAAGGGCATGGTGGACGTGAACAAATTCTTTACTCACGTCGGAGCGAATTCTCTGAATAGCGGAAATCTCTCTTCGGTTTTCAAAACACAATCACTGAAGGAGTTTTCACAGGCGCTAAAAGACTGATCTTTTGGAAAATCAAATCGATCCGAATTCAACAAATTACCATCGACCAAATCGCACGTTATCTAATTGTTGATCATGAAGGCTAGGGCATTAGAAAAAGTGGAAGGGGCTTTTATTGATTCAAATTTCCCAAGGTTTTAAAATGAAAGTGCCTGTGGAGAAGCATGAGCGTGACTTCTGTAGTGGCCTTACTCCGATTCCCTGTCTCAACACTGGGCCTCTCGCGAGTGTCTGTACGTGCGCAACCGAGCTGTCTGGCACTCGCTCACTTGGCTCTCCAGCTGGCCAATCATATTCAAGGCCGAGTCAGACGTGCTCTCGCTTAAGACGCTTTTGTAGCGGCTGAGCAAGGAGGGGCTCCGGGAAACTCGGGGAGACCTGCGGTTGAATGTGATGGCTTGCGGTCTTTCGTATGGGTAGCCAAAGAAAACTCCTCTAACAGTTGAGTTACTCCATCATACACACTAGCAAAGGAAAGGGGTGGAGTGGACATAATAGCGACAGATGAACTGGATATAAAAGTTTATTGGTAAAACGTTGGCGACACGATAGAAAAATAGGTTTAACGCGATCTATAATAAAAGGTAAAAATAGTTGGTACAGACTACTAATCAACTATGAGAGTACAACTTAATCCTATGTTTCGATAAAACGTGAAACACGGAAAAAGATTAGTTAGTGGTGAAATAAACGAGACGGAAAACGAATCGGTAGTCCAGGAATACGGAAACGATAAGGAAAAGGGGACTTAGTGGAGGGCGCGTCGACAGGCGTCAGCTCCAATCCACGTGACCCAAACTCTGAAAAGGGAGGGCGGGAAGTAAAAAAGGTCCGTTTAAAACAATCGGTCGTTACACTTTGACGGACCCCCTCACACACTTGGAACGCCACTCACAAGGCGCCGGACGTGCTCTCGCCCAACTGCCAACTCTCTCCAATTCCTTCTTCAGTTATTCAGTATAGAATATATTATCCTCCCAGACGGCATCCATCTTCTCTTTCCATTTGGGGCCGGATCTAAAGGTCGTGGTATCCAGGATCTCATTTTCTGCCTAACTCGCCTCAATATTCTTTCCATTAACATTAAAATGCCTCTTGTTTAGAGCGCCATTACACACCTCACACTCGCTTTGTAAATATAGCTTTGAAAAGCTGCAAACTATATCCCAACTTCTAAGGCATGTGGACTAAAACACTTATTTATCTTATCTCCGTGAATCAATTTTCGTACTTCCTCGTCTAATTTTGTTATTTCTCAATTTTTGTACGTTATGTACATTTATCGTGTTCGTGCTTCCGTTTCCATTCTTTGTTTTGCCTTCCGCTCTGCCTTACACCCATTTTGTGATCGGGGCTGAAGGAAGTGACTTGATTCCCTGTTTTATGTCGCTGTATGTACTTACCGAGAAGCAGCACAGCATTCGATAGATTGTGAATTCTCGCGAAAATTAGCGTTACACAAAGACCCTTGCTCTTAAAGGAAATTATCGCTCCGCGTTCCGGTCATAATTCACCAACGATAGAAGAATTGATAAGAACAGCAAAGTTAATTGCTTCCACGCTTAAACTAAGTTGTTTGGGGACTCGTAAACGGTTTTTTAGCGCAGCATCTTAAATACAAAGTTTTGTCAAAATTGGTCAACGTTGGCTTGTATATAATGATGAAAGAGCATATAACCGACGCGTTGGACGAAAATACGCTCGGCTTTAGGGATGATCAGTTGTCCTTAATTCTAAAATACAAGGAACGCTTGTTTGAATGATCCCTGGACATCAGTCCTGGCTTTCTTTGATACCTTGTCTCTATGGCCGGACGATTTAAGTGGCAGCCGGCCGTCCTTTTTTCATTGTCAGCTGTTCTCGGGGCCTTGTGTGCACGTAGGGCCGTCTTTTCGTTAGCCAATTTATTTGTTGTGAAACGAATTTGCAAGGTAATGGAAACAACGATGTTGGAAGCTAGCCAGTCCAATGGGATATCAACATTCCACAAGTGCAGCTTATTCAATTTGTTTGAAGTTCTTTTCAACAGGAAATCAGAGGTTAGTTATGGCTTTATCATTTCTCCTCATTTAACCTGTAGCATTGTCACAAGTTGCGCATTAAAAATCCTGACTCGGTGAAGAAGAAGCTTACTCGCATGATTGCGCTGGGCAAGGACAACCTTCAGGTAGTTGTGCTCATGCATGCCCATGTTCTTTCTCAGGTCATATCAGACTTTGACTGGACTCTGTCGAAATTCGTTCACAAAGGTGAGCCTAACCCCACCTGTCACGGAATCTTTGAGCAGGATCCCGATATGACCCCGGAAACTCAGAACAAGGTAAATCATGCGAGGTCGTCTAAGTGAAATCACTTTCAACAGTTACGTATTTTGCGACAGACCTATCATCCGGTTGAAGTAGATCCGACTATTCCAGTTTCCATGAAGATTCCAATCATGTTGGAGTGGTGGGATCTGTCACACAAAGTGATCTCCACGTCCAGTATACATAAAGATACCCTTCAAGCAACTGTAAACCAGTGCAACCTTGCCCTGAGGTTTGTTATACCCTGAATTTTTAGAAGCAGCACTATGGTTACTAGTTAATTTGACTCTTTCTGAGATTATTCGAGCTGTTGGCTAGCGATTCTAGATTATTCTCTGGATTACTCATCTTGCACTGTCAGAATTCCGGCGGGCAGCGTCGCCTGGACTCTGTCTACGCTGGTTAACTCTCCCATACGCGCCAAATTGCCCAAATCCCGGGTTTATTGTAAACTAGTCCAAAACTGCTCATGTCTGGGGAACATTTCAAGATCAGTTTTTGAAAGGCGAGTAGTCCTACGGTGTGGTGTAACTGACTGTGCTTCGGTACACCAGCAATTTGATGCATTGTCAATTGTGACACTACACTAGTGTCAGGCTTTGCCGGTCAACCTAGCTGCTAGTTACCTACATGCTCACGGAATTCCAGGTGGCAGAACTGCTGTCAACGTTGGCTTGTTGCGAAATAAGCGCGCTCTCGGATTTGGTGAACGCAAGTTGGGGGCAGCAGCAACGGTGCTACCAAAGCACGAAGGACTGAGGTCTGAGCTTCATAAAACGACAACCCGATGGTAGCATTGTAGTTCGTACACGCCTGTTATTTCACCTTTCATCCGCATACAAATTATCACGAGCAAGTTGCTTTGATTTCTCAAACGTTGACAACCTAGTGGTGCATACGTGCTGAGAAAGTTTTCGGATTCACTCAGCGCTCCGTCGTAACTGGGTCAGCGGATCAGGTCTTGTAGTTGTCTGCCAAGGTGATTCGAAGTAGGTCCCTGCCAACTCCGGAAAATGACGGCACTTAGTTGGCGATGATAGAAAGCGCTATTGGGCTGAAATAGCTACCTCCATGGAGCAGGCCCCAAACGTTGGACTTTTATCCCACTCCAGCCTCACTACTCAGCACCTTCGCACCCAGAAAGAATGGTATTCTTGCCGAAATCTGCAAATCTTATGTCGACACTGGCGCCTTGGCTCTGTAGGGTGATTGAGCGACCCTGGAGTAATGAACTCTTTCCTGTTGACTGTGACTCGGACATCCCTGTGGCTGTCATCAAGAAGTAAGATAAGACAAGGTAGAGAACTACCAAGGCATAAGCTGTACTTGCCTCGATGCTAACGTATTCGCAGGTTTCATCCTCTGTCGATTGGAGATTTTGCGTGACTCGAGGATAAAGCGGCCAGGCCGGGTTTCGAGCCGGACGTGGATGCATAGTCCTGGAATTCACGCTCTGATACATTATTGAATTTTCCTATGGTTGCCAGCAACTGGTGGTCGTCATCCTTGTTGATTTCGCCGCAGCGTCGGATTTCGTTTATCATGAGTCCCTGTGGCGGATAATAAAACAATGTGGTATGCCAGCAAACATCATGGTCATGGCCAAGCCTCTATCATTGCGCGAGTTTTGGTTTATAACAGTCCCTCTTGGCCGCCCGGCATGGTTGCATTCTGCAGCCCATACTGCTCAACAGAACCATTAACAGGATTCTCGGAAGGCCCCTACAAGTTTGACAGTGCCCGCTCCAGGCTCCAGCAGACTGGCCTCGACTATGTTGGCGATATCGTCTTACCAGCATTTACTGTGAGAATCTGCCGCGGTCTAGTGTTGCTAAATCAGTTGGCTTGTCCATGAACGCTAAAAAGGCCAAAGTGCTTTTGACCAGGAGAAAGCGCTCCCTGGGATTCGCGACTGACGACCTGACGAATTAGGCAGCCTCAGTTATCTAGTGCAGGGCTGCTGCTGAATGAGCAGAGTATGGGCACCAGCGTCCTCCAATTCGATGTTGTTCTTAAGCTTTCCGCAGTCCTTGGGAAGTGTCCGTGGACCCAGTGCGATATCCCCACATATGCCGAACATCTGCCCAGTCAGTCATCCTGCGGGGTTGTGAATGCTGGGAAGAAAATCGAAAATATATGACCACCGTTGCCGGAGATCCATCTTTTAGGCGAAATACACCGCCTCGAATGAGACATCCCACACTCCCTGCAACAACGTTGCGGGGACCCCTCAGGGCATCAGAATGACAACTGAAGTGCTTTGGGCGTTTTTTGTTGTTTGCCACATACGTACCGCGTTGTTGGACCTAATCTGGCGCCGTTGGCGACATGGAGGCGTCGAAGGGGTGGCCGACCAAAAATTTGGCATTTCACGGCCTGTCAAGGCATGAAAGTGGCTCCTGGACTTCCGGTATCCAGTCTCCATTGATGGGAAAGCGAGTGAGTCGAGCTCTCCAAATCGGCTATCACACATTTTCAAACGCGGAGGCACAATCTACGGCGTCATCGATATCAGGTAGATTGGATATTATTGCAGCTGCATTAAGTCTATTTTCACTAATCCCGGGTTTCTATAAGCCGCGGCTGTGCCTGTTTAATCAAACGCACTATGCAGTCCGGGGTATCAGACGCCACTGTGTACAACGTAGATTAAGTCATGCTCGGTCAGCATCTCGTTTGCTTTTGTTAGTTTTGACTTCTATTGTATGCATTATATACAGACCATATACCGCAACTCACTTTCGGTCTTTCATTTCAGAGACTATGTAGTAGAATTTATGACACAACTGCACAAGCAAAATATCCCAATTCTGATATTTTCTGCTGGCCTCGGGAACGTTATAGAACTTCTTCTGGAACGTTTCAACTTGTGCTTCGACAACGTTCGAGTAGTTTCCAATTTCATGGACTTTAACGACGAGGTACGTCACCGGTGTACCTTATGGATATCCATTTTTTACTTGCCGACTGGTATATCTTTGGTCTTTTAGCCACTATCTTTTTCTCTATGAAACTCTGGCAAACCTGAGATCAGGCCTGCTATGTGGGAGTCCACTTAACTCTACCGGTCTGGTGAGGGACCATGTGTTCTTTTAAATCAACAGGTAGTCCAATAGAATCACGCATTCGGTTACCTCGATTTTTCTAAGCCACCTCTGGTCCATAGCATCACGAGATTCCGATCTATCTATTCTAGGCAATTGATGGAATTGAGCGTTAGGAACGCGCCTCAGTAAAATCCGGCGTCTTGCATGAAAAGCAGTCTTTGTCTATTATTTGAACAAAACAATATAGTCTTTCAGTTTTTTGACAAGTAAATGACGGCAGACAGAAGTCTCTCTTGGACATTAGTTGCTACGTGAAAATCTTGACAACTGCGCGAGCGAGGGTTCTGCCTCTTCACGTGGAAAGGCGCCGTTAGCTAGTTTTGTCTCCGGCCAGTGACTACCAGTCTGTTTCAAAGGCCACTATACGACTGAATTGTCAAAATTCCTGATATCCAGTCGGATGTTCCCCTTTTCTGGTTTTCCAGCCCGAACCTCATGGTGTCTCAAACCAGCCTTGGCCGAAATATAAGATTGTAATGCTGTTCCCACTTACGACCTATCTACCCTTTAATGTTGTTGGTCGGAGGCGCTGTGGAAGATTACGTCGTGTGCGTCTTTACCACACTTTCGAAACAGCGATTCCCTGATACTAATCAGTAGACGCCTGTGGAATTCTTTGTTGAAGACAAGCGTTTTAAAATAAAAGGCCTTTTTCAATCTACTATTTTAGGGCCTTCTGATTGGGTTCCAAGAACCTATAATACACACTTTCAACAAGACAATCGCAACCGTCTCTAACAGCGACTACATCAAGAAGGTTTTGTCCAAGCGTTCATCCATCATTCTGTTGGGCGATTCCTCGGCCGACCCTTACATGGCGGACGGTATCCACGGTGAAAATGCGGACCCCCATGTAAATATTCTGAAAATCGGTTACCTTAACGATAACGTAAGTCAACCAACTTCTCGTAGCCCTGCCTTTGGTTTTTACTCATATCCTTTCCAATGACCTCCAATTTTGTGCCCCACAACCATTACTTTGTTTACTTTTGTTTGCTCTTATAAGTGGGTAATTACGTTAGTTGCAGCATTTGCCTATTGTCGACCGATGTTCTCCTCGTTGGAGACATTTTCGCTTAATAGCAGTGGTCAGACGACATACATGTTCAGATAAGTGATCTGGAAGTGTGACTTATTCTACAGTTGTGAAGTGGACTGCTATACTGCCCTCATTTCGAATTGCACATAATATCAGCAACTTGAAGGCTTCTGGTCCTCAACCTTCCCGTGATCCGGTTTCTATTCGTTTACCCAGGACATTGGTCAGAGCTGTTCTTTTCGTTGTCTATTTGAAAGTAGCTCGAGATGTGTTTGGACGGAACCAGCCTCTATTTTTCGCCACCATAGTCTAACTTGACCTGCTATTAGTCGCGTAGTACTCTGAAGTAATCCTACGACTGCATTGTGGCCGATATTAGTATTATTTCCGCACGTCCTCGTTATTACTAACAGTGTGGTATTTAGGGCCCTGAAGCCTTTCAAGTTTTACTAGTACCGTCAGATGAATAACCCGAGCAGCTATGTCTACTACCAAACTTTCGCATTTCCAATGACATTGTCTTTTTGTCTCGCGTCCTGCTTTGCAATAATTAATTCCTTTAGTACTCATTTTTGTCCGAGAGCACAAGTTTAGACTTGTAGTTTACCTTGTATCTTACTCAGAGCAGCTTAGTTCATTTTAACTATCATTGATTTACTTATTTTTTTTCTCAATTTCTTTTTACTATAGGTCGAAACCCTACTGGATGCCTACATGGATATTTATGATATAGTCCTGATAGACGATGCGACATTTGAGATACCGCTTGAGGTGTTGAACTGCATCGTTCATTCAGAATCGCTCGAAGTCTAACATAGCACAAGGTTGTTCGGGACGGTGGAAGTGCATTGCAGAACCTCAGTACCTTTCAGCGCCCTGGCCTGGCCATAGCGCCATACCACCCTTTCGGACGCACTTCTTTTAACGGCTTGTTCCGTCGTATTTCATCTTCAACCCTACCCCGACTCCGTCGCCTGTTCAGGGACCTATGCTATCTTTTTGGTGCGATAACTGAATGAATTCCATCTCACAGTTGCTGCACTTTGGTCAATCCCACCAGCTCTTCTTCACAGATCCCTCTACTGTTTTTTGACTTCGAACGCGGCCCGTTCATCCCTGACCACTCGTGATCCCATACCGCTTAGCATGAATATTCGTGGGCACATTGGATGCCTCATTTCTTTCGTTTACAGTCCCAATCAATTGGTCCAAAATTCCTAAACTTTCTTTTAAACTGAGGATTATCACACGATAGCATTATCACCGGTCTTCACCCTCCGTCTTTCTGCCCCTTCTCTCTTTTCTAAACAGTCTTTCTTGTCGCCCTTTGGGCTACTAGAGGACAGAATGCCACTGTATAGGTGTCAGCCTGTGCTCATAAGTACTGCATGACGGCTAGATTTTGCAAAACTCCGTTTGTGAATTATGTAGAATATGCTCTGTCCCAATGCGTGTGCATCACCGTTGCGCATGCCGCATTTTACAAGTACACCATGAAGTTTTGACTAGATCTCATGCGTCTTTTATTTCACTAAAATTAATCAGAGCATGCGTTTCGATCGCATCCCAAGGCCGATTTCCAGCATTCTCCGCCCCTTGACGCCATGGGCAAACTGTCGCCGGCCGGAGTTCGGATTGTATGCGAAAGAGTTACAGTTATTCGATACGCACAGTTCATTACATCAGGGAGGCCGCTCGGGGTGCGAATGGGCAGTCGTCCGGCCAAGTAATATGTAGCTTCTACTGACGATGCACTTCGCATAGTGAACAGCACTTCCGGCATTCTCGACCCAGTCGGCTGACGGCAAAACAAGCGTCTGATGCATGTGTCTTGTTACTTCGCTCTCCAGTCACAGAACAGGCCGTTCGGAAAAAAGTCGCGGGCCTGACCCGAATCTGTACTTGCGCCGACTGAAAGAGTAACACTTGACACTGACAGCTAAGAAGTCCAGGCAAGCCTCATAGTTTGCCACTGCCCTGGGGTTCGTCGGTAAGCGAGCTCGGCGAAATGGAGGAATAGTTCCGCCACCCAGTACTGCCATCCAGTGGCCCGAGATCTAAAGGTTGCAGGAACGCCTACTGCGCAATGGAAAAGCGATCCAAATTGGACTTTGAAGTAGCCAGAACTAGTCACACAAAAGACGGTATAGAGACTTGCTTCAGAAAGAAGTCTGGTCATTACGGTCGTCAAGGCTCGTCCCAGTCGAGATCCCATATGATAACGTTGGTCGCTCAGTGAACGGTTGCGTTCTCCTAGACAGCTGGGGAACTGGGAGGTAAATAACGTCCTCGCTGTCATCTCCCTGTTGAAACGCTGCGAAAATTGCTTCGGAGGTGTCAGGCTGTCATAATGCCAACAGGGGGCATTTTGACGGGAAGATAATTTAGGCGGAAGATTCTGAGTTTATTTAATTTGCGATGTCTTTTGCTCGGTGTTGCGTCTTAGTTTTGTCTTAACAACTGTACCTTTATTATGTGTGGCATAGTAGATAAGATCTTCGTTCATCTTATCCCAAGCTTACTTTGGCTTCCGAAAGCTTAGTCGAGTGTTGACTGTCTTCCTCTGGCCCTTGTGCACTAGAAAAGGGAAGAACAAACGTATGCTCGCCAAAAAGTCTTCAGAAAAGGGGGTAGTTATTTTCAATATCGTGATTTCACTGGACATCCTAATTACAGCAGATTGCAGATTACGCATTATTACGATCCATTAATTAACTTTCGACTCGAAATGAGATCTTTCGCCTTGATTTGCCCATTTATGGCGTGTTTATTGGCTGTGGGCTTTATGTAGTTGCAATAGATTCAGAGTTCAGCCGTCTGTGGGGTCTCGCCTAATCCAGGCTAACTTTAACCACTTCTCCATGCTTCCGTTGTATTTCATCCCTTTGAGTCATGCTTCTTAAATGCCTTAGCCTATGGTAAATTTCAGCCTTACCTTGTCATCTCAGTTGTAGTTCGTCTAGAGTCGATCACGGTCTTCCATCGAACGTGATATTCCTGCCTTCGGTGTGTTTTATACCTATAAGTGCAGTCTCTTTTGGTGCGTCATCTTGGTTTTTTGTTGTCAAATTTTGATAACAGATTGCTGGTAACATCTTGTGCAATTTGAATGGAAGATCGGTCATTTAGTATTCATTTCCAGAAGTTCATTGAGTGAAAGCCAACCGTTGAGGCGAAATGGTCCTACGACCGAAAAGGACTAACGGGAAGACTTGATGGTACTCGGGAGCTTAAGTACCCCCTGCACGTCGGTTCTAATGACAAGTGCATTAAGCACACAGAAGTGACGCTCAGGATGTAACCTGGTTGCAGGTTAGAATGCGCCCTGCCCAAGAACACTAACCTGGGGCATATGAATGCGGTCGCATAGCAGAGAGCACTCGGTACCTCGTAATTATTCCCTACTAAGATGGCCGAGTTCGCAACGACCGTTTTCCGTTTAGTTGCTGTCGTAAACTAGCAAGACCCAAACTACTGGCCTGGTGGTTCCGAGGCCGCATGTCGGGCTGTGTATAGTCACGAGGGCCCAAGTCAAACGCCTTATGTCGAGCCGCAGGCCAGACTTCCGTCGACCGTGATCGAGAATATTGGAAGTCGGAATAGACTGATTTATGTGAATTCGAATATCTCTACTCACAGATGACAGCATTCGAACCTGCGGGTTAGTGATAGGAAAGTCTGACTTAGGTAATTGCAAGATGCCCCGGTTGGAATCCTGGGGTTGGGTTTTGCTGGCTGACGGCGGCTGGTCAGTGGCCACTCCAATAGCCCCCAGCACTGTAGGCTGCACCTCTCAATGATATCTGTGAAATTGCCTGGACTTATCTACTGTTGACCCGATCGAATAACGTTCACTGATCTCAGCCGACTTCCCAGCTACTGCAGGGTCTGTGCTACGCAGTTTTGGCTGCTTCTGAAGACGTTTCAAAGGATAGGTTAGAAGGTTTTGTACACATAAGAGATGTCCTTACCCCTTATGTCAATGGTCTGTGCGCTTTCACGCAGTAGCGGTGGCATGCTCGGCAGTGTTACACTGTGACCCCAAACTAAAGCAAACTACCGGAGCACAGGTAGAAAGGGAGAGATGAGAGGCATATGGGGAAACGCAGCAAGTTTGTCATCGGTTTCGACTATTCTATACCCGACAGGAGCTTACGCCGAAAATGTATGGATTAAGAACTAGTCCAACTACTCCATTTTTTTCGAAATTAGGAGGTATTAGGGGTTCTGTACAGAGAGAGCCCAGTCTTCATCGACGTGGTTTTCGCCCCTTTTTGGCTGACTATCAAATAAACTAAAAGCGTGGCTGAATTGTCTGTGGTATCTTGTGTATACTGCCTACGTCGGCTACTTATGACGTGGGATTCTGTGAGAGGTGAAACCACATGGCCTTTTTTCAAATCAAATAATTAGTTCTGAGTAAACCACACACCAGACCAAAACAACCCTCGGAAAGGAATCAGTCGGTAACTATCCAAGAACGTGTATTAACAAAACCTACCGAGTGCAGATCACAGTCACAGTTAGTGCTGCAATCCTCGTGAAAGCTTCTCTAAATAGAACTAACTGCGTCTATTGTTAAGAAAGGAACACACTGTTTTTAAAAGAGAGGTAAGCTGAGTATCACCGATGAGCTGAAAAAACATGTTACAACCTATAAAGGTTCAAGATCCGGTGGAAATGTGCTTTGCTACGCTCTTCAGACTACTTCGACGCAAATAAATGAACCTTATGCCTTCCGAAACAGCGTAGAACATTTACCAGGGTTGCAGACCTCTGAGTTGGGTATAGCTGGCTGCTGACCGCTAACAAGCCATAAATAACCACCCCAGTCTCTCTGGTCTTTGCCAGTGATGTTGCTCTGCCTGAAAGTTTCTCCTTTGATTCGCTTGTTCATACTCTTCACGCTGTGCTGATAAGAACCTTAGTAATATCTTCTCAAGAAAGCATCTGAAGAAGGGCAATAGCTCTGCCCCTCATTTCCAATCAAAACACGGCTTATTTTGCTATTATCCTGAGCAATTATGTCGCCGAACTTGGAGGCGTGGTTCGTGTTTAGTTTTGTGGGTGAAAAATGAGGTACCTGGTCACTACTTAGATCAAATAATCGATCCTCATGCATGCGTGCTTGATTTCAGCTTTCTTCCGGCCTAATCTGCAGGTCTCCATGGGCTTTCATATCCTGGCATCACACTACGGTCTACGTCCGAAGCTGCTCCACTAGGTAGTTGGGGTTAGGGCTGATAATGCGCGAGATGTTGCTTACCTTCCCATTAACCGTGTCCGGAATTCCTGAGTAAGCTTTTGCCAGAAAAAAAAACGACTTGTACTCTATGAAATTTAGCGGTGTAGGAAGATTGTTGGGATTGTTGAAATGCTGTAGAATGCTCTCAGATTTCACAACAATCGTCATATGACTTCCGTATGTATCTGTTTATTAATGGTCTTCGAATAGGTTAAGACCCACTGCAGTAACGCGAATGAAAAACTGGCGGAACCCGATATACCCGCGGCCATTTTACAACGAGTGAATATTAAAAAGTTGCCATACCCCTGCGCCTTCGCATCAACTAGGATACCCAGACAGAAAGTCATTTGAGGACTTGGATGGCTTTCCGCGTGCGAAAAATACTTCGGAACGACAGGAAATAATGCCTAGACAGTGGGTTCTGGAATTATATCAGCTGGAAGACGCCAATCTTGGATGTGTCATTAAAATCAAAGGGGATCGGGTCCTGACGAGAAGTTTGGTGTAATGTGTAGAATTTCAGGCCTTAAATGCTACTGTTCTTGAGTCCTTAAGGACGAGATTT